AAGTAGAAGAAGATATTGACATAATATTCCAGGGTTGTGAAGTATTCGTCAGGAGCTTCAAAAGAATGTGTCACAACACCCATTTCCATTCAAGTTTTTTCCCAGATGACGCCCAATCACCATCTTGAAATTTGATCTGTCAATTTTACTCCAAAATACTATTCGCGATCGAATGTTTTCATTGGTTCACATTTGTTTTTTGTTTGTGCTTATTGGTCATATCTTCAAAACAAACCGCTCAGAAGTGTTCAAGTTGCTGCCGTCAGATGGGGCAACGTGTTATTTTATATCGCGAATAACCATGCACCGATGTTATTACCCCAAGTTAAAAATTTTTTAGTTGACTCGTTCAAAAATAAGATGTGGGATATTGAAGAAATGCACTGTATACATTTTTAAATTATCACTATCATTTTTTGTAGTCCTTACCAAGCTACAACGCAATATTACAAAGTTTGGAGAGAAACAATTCTAGTGATTTCTTGGCTTTTCAGTTCATAGTAGGGGACAGTTTCTTCTTACGAACGACGACCGGAGCAAAACAAATTCGAAACGTTTACGAGGCTCGTTTGATTGGATCCTCGCTACTCGCTTCGTCAGTTTGTCACAGCGTCGCTAGACAAACTAGCCGCTAAATTAGGTCCGTCACACTCGATCCTTTTTCCTTTTGTTTCCTCCGGAGATCCGAGAAATATGGCCAGGGATAAGGTGTCTTTCTTTCTGTAAATTTCGATCAAGTCGGGGTCGAGATGTCACTAACTGGCTCGAACAGATAACGAAGTTCTGTAGTCATCGACATGAAAAATCGTAGATGGAATGGGTCTGCATGACTCGATGAGATAAGATTTCCTTTCATGCTTTGTCTTAGTTCGAATACCACTAAGAGGTGTTGACTTCTAACTTTGGAGTAGATATTTTAGCACGCAAGAAGGAATACATATAATGAGCCCTATACAGGGTGTCCCAAAATAAGTCTGCCAAACTACACCAACGGCTTCTACGACCAAAATAGGACGAAAAGTTTCAATGAAGGAAGCTGCGGCATCCTGAAAGGGGCTCCTGAAGATAGAAGATATTTCTTTAATATTTCCGAAACGTCACGTGATAAAATGATGCGAGTCGATAGAAGAACTAAACTTTGCATGTCCAATGCGGTGAACATAAAATGATTCCAAAGTTTTATTCAGGAGTGTATAATACAGAGTGGGAATACATTAAATATTGATCAAACTTATTTGCATGCTTATTTTCAGACAATTAAATCTCGGATTATAAAAGTCCACACTGTTCCACGAAGAAGGTGCTCATGTTTCGCATCTATCAGATGTATTATTCTCGAATGAAATCGATCCATTCAAATTATAGTAAATAATGTTAAATGCTTGCTTTCTTTTCACCAAACAATCTTTACAAGCGCCAAAAATAGGAGAATGATGAAAAAACTACTTCAATGACTGTGCATTGTTTCCATTTCCATTACGACTCATTGCAATGTTATGCATATCTGAGATATAACAATATTTTCAAATCCCTTTCACTCGACTATTATATTGCTTATCGTAACGGAACAAGAGTATATTTTTTTGTAAAGAGGTGTGATTATCATAATCCGAGATTAAATTGTCGAAAAGTATGCATTCAAAAAGTTTGAGCAATATTCAATGTAGTCCCACCCTGTATTATACACCCCTGAGTAAAACTTTGGAATGATTTCATTTTCACTGCATCGGGAATGAAAAGTTTAGTTTTGTACCAAATTGCATCTTTTTATCACATGGTGATTCAGAAATATTAAAAAAATATCATCTTCAGAAACCCCTTTTCAGGGAGCCATAGCTTAGGGGGCATTTCTCGTATCATGTTCATTGAAACTGCTCCTCCTATTGTCACGATAGATACCAAAAATATTTCATCATAGCTACTATATTCGAGATTATATTGATTCAAGAAAAGATTTCATTATCAAAGTTCATTATTTATTTCATCGTATAACATTCGATTAAAGGAAGCTCGTATAGTGTTTTGCTCACGTTGGCAGCTCAGTCAACCGGAATGAAATACTCGCATGAGGAGTAAAACGCTGACTATGTCGAAATATTCTAAATAAATATCGATCAGCCGATACGGCGGAGGACAGTTTGGATCTGATCAGCCAGCACTCACTATAGTTCATCCCCTGCGTCTTCTTGAGATAATGTTGTAAGTACTAACGTATCTACCTTCATGGTAGCAAGTTATGAAATGATTCTCTGTATTGCGAAGTCTGATGTACATTTGTTTTGTGCCTCCTTTATCTGAACCACTGATGGAACTATTTCTTGTCAAATAAATTGTAGCTGTATAACGAATAACTGTTTTTATTCCTCGGCCTCCCAAGCGAGTTCCCCCCCAAGTCAACACCCTGTAGCCATAGGTCGTGACATTATGGTGGAGGCGCCGGGCGTAGAGGCCGCTGCTGAAGTTTAGCTGGCTAATTTAGGGACATCCTGTATGTAGATGTTCGTATATACACCTATCTGGAAGATTTCGGAGTTCTACAACTTTTGTGATGATATGGTGAGTGAAAAATGACAACAAGCTTCTTGTAATTTTCTCAAATCATTGATTGTGACTGAATATAAATGAATGTACCTGAATCAGTAACTTGTTCAAATACATGATTCAGATATCTTGACATCCAACTCTGCATTCTGTGATCACGTGACATTTGCCAAAATCGATCGGACAAGCAGGTGGAAATCATGCAAGGCATAAAATTTTTTTATGAACTGATATTCTTGATCTTGATAGATACTGATGTTATGCTTGCATAGTCGAAGTATGCTAAGTACCAAACAATCTTTCAAGAATACACTACACTGTTTAATCACCTATCAAACCAATTTTTAGAACGCATCGACACGTGTTTCGCTAACTATCTGATCATCTTCAGGAGTAGATTGAAACTGTTTAACTGATCGAAAAAATAGGTTAGGTTAGTTGTTGAACAGTGTAGTGGATTATCGTACCAAAAGTTTCAGTCTTCGATATTTCATGAATAACTTTGGCTAACCAATCATCAAGTCTCACTTAGACCACGCCCACAAGTTTACCACCTCCCAAAGGAATCTTTTATTTGTTTGAATCTGATAATATATGTTCTGGAATTCACATCGCTCATCTACTGTTATACTGTGTTGGTGGAAGTATTTTTATCTCGTGAATAAAATATTCATACATTCTGGTTCAGCTTGGCATCTACATCATGAGATAACACTAAAGTTTACAGAATATAGGTACTGTAATTCTCTAAATTGTGGCAACACTGTGAACTGGATGCACTATAGGCAACGAAACATGACATTTTTATAACATAAATTGAGTCGTCGAAGTCGAGCATGATTGCTGGTTCATTCATGCTGGAATTTCTCATTATTGCTATCAACACGAAATACTTACTTTTACGTGACTGCTGAATTCCTGCAGATAATATCAAGCTATTTAACCTTATCAGTCGTACTGTCTAGACATTTCGTTTTTCAGGTGCTGAATGATTATCAACAACATAATTGGAAGAAATGCGAAGTGATATTCAATACGAGTTCACAAAAATTATTCAGAATTGATTCCATGCAAAAATTAAATTATGATTACCATTGTTACAAAAAATGGAATAAGGAACAGGGAAACATAGTGTTGATTGGATGCCGTTGAAAAGGAAATCTGATCATGGAGAATTATCTAAACTCCTTTCATCACCTTTTTTCAAGCATTTGAAGACCACAGAGGAAAGATGGGGAATGTCACAATATAGTAGAAATTGACTCTACAACGCCATCTGATAACCTAACCACTATATTTTAGTATAAAACAGAAGTCCATAGCAATAACGCAGCAGAGTCAACTAATATGTTCGTTCGAAAATACGTTCACATGAAAAAAAAAACGCGGAATGTCCACTTCAAAAATGTGAAAAAAGGGGAACGTTCAAACTTAGTGCTCGCTTCAATACAGATTCCATTGTGATTTTAATAGGTTGTTTTCACATTGTCAAAAGGTCAAAACAAAAGATGAGAAAAAAAGAGATTCGGCCACATTTTTTCCATCTAGATAATCCCTATAATATTCGGTAAACATCGTGTTCACCTAGGGAGGAGATGTATAAACGAGTTTTGGTGAAGCGTTGTTCGACATATTTAGAGGTAGACGACAAAAAGGTGTGCTGACTGGGCTTGTTGAAAATGATCAAATCATAGAGATTCTAGATGTACTGTATATGACAACTTACCGCTCATTAGGTAGGTACTCAAGCAAGAATGGAGAAATGTACCAGAGCAGATAATTGCGAGTTAACAATCCAGTTTTTTGACAATTTATTTGGACATTCTCCATTTTTCCCTTGAATCTGTGAACGTATTTTTTGTTTTAGATGATTTTTTCATTCAAATATGATTCTCATTTTTAGTTATTCAACTTTATTGCTCATTTTACTTCATCAAATGGATCCAGGTGGTTTGATTTGAGTTTCCTTCAACTTCCAAGTAATAAGGAGGTTTCAAACATTGAAATGCGTTATTCTCGAAATTTACTTTTTGTGACATTCCTCCTCTTTCTCCTGTGGTCTTCATCTGTCAAATATTTGCTTCCAAATCTTAACCATTTTTGTGAAATCAAAACAAATGTTCATAAGAAGTGCATGTTTTTGTATGTACCAGGTGATTCAACATGTTTGTATGAATAATCAGAATGACATAGATGGTTTTACATTTTATTCACGTGATCTTTCTTCCTTGAACCAGACCCTAATAGCATTATCATTAGTTCTTGCGATACATCAGTATCACTTCACCCTTATTGAATCTAATCACTTTGGCACAATGATGCTCTTCACTTGTTGAATAAATTGGTAATAATCATCTAAAACAATTTCATTTCATTTTGATAGGGTGATGTGAAGTATTCACGCCACTTAACGTGTTCGCAGTGTTTTTGGTTTTTTATGCCTGTATGTGAATATTTACCTTGTACAGGATATCCAGGAGTGTTGTTGCCCAGCAATGTAATGGGGTAACGAGATGAGGCTCTCTCCGCGGAAGCCTCTTCGCGCACCTCCACCTCCATGTCGTGAAAGCCACCGTGGCCCTGTTCCCACTCTGAGAAAGAAAGAAAAAAACTCCATTTCATATGGAAGAAATGATAAATATACAGGATAAGTCACGAAGAACTGTACATACTCCAACCACGAACAGTGGCACCTGAGGGAAATACCTAATGACCATCAGAAGGTGTCTTCTTCACTAATATATAGGGTCCTCAACTCGGAATAATTTTCAAAATATTCATGAGCTCGAGAAATTTCCGGAAATGATTTGACCTCTAGTGGTATTACCAAGTGATAATATCTTTCACATGTGAATATGTGACGTTTTTGTTGTTCCAACCAATATCGATGCTTAATTCTAGCCAATCATTTGGTATCATACTGATAAACTGATAACTTGTTATACGACGCTATACATAGTGGAGTATACTACGGCCTTGCCAAAAATGCTATCTCGGAAACTAAGCGAGATAGAGGTATAGTTACTTTAAAGAAAATGATCCCCATCGAATTTTGAGCAACTTTGGTTTTTGTGTGTGGTCTGTCTGTCTGTCTGTCTGTACTCTGTGGTAATCATAAATCGATATATCTCCGGAACCCTTTGACATATCGACTTGAAATTCTGCCATCTGATTGTACTCAAGACAATATTATGTCATTAAAATATGAAGGAAATCGGAAAACTCTAAGGTGGTTTTTCCGGGTTTTTTAGATTTTTCATCGGAAGTTTCTTGTGATCACTCTACAAATCGCAAAAGTGGTCCGAGCGATTTCATTTTTTGTGAAAAAAAACTCTATCAGGAAGAGACGGAGCCTATTGAAATTTAGCAGGGTCGGGAAATTCCAAGTAGGTTTTTCAAGGAGATTTTCCGAAACACACGGTTTGCTTTAAAACGACATATCTCCTGAACCAACAGACTAAATCCAAATTTGAAAAATGCACCGTATGCCTCTTTCTATCCACTGGAACATTTCCTACAAATTGTTACCCATAATTTTTTCTGTAAACCCAATAGTACAGGAAATAAAGTAAAAAATATGAAGAAAACAAAAATTGAACGACCCATAGGGTACCATGAAGATATATTGAAAAACAAAGATTATAGATAGATGAAGCTCATCGACTTCCACTGAACCATGAAATATTTTTTCCTTTTGTTGATTGGAAGATGGAACAAAAGTGTTGAAAATTTTATTTTCAGATAATTCCAAATATCTCGAAAACAACTGAAAATATCTGAAAATGTTGTGGAACCAAAATTATTCCTTTTGATAGAATCTACAAAAAATCTGTATAACATTTTTCTTTAAATTCAATAGTTCGGGAGATACGATGAAAAACCTAAAAAAAATTACAAGTTCCTAGATAATCACTTGCCAATAGAAAACAAAACAAAAAACAAAAGGAAGTAAAAAAAACACAATCGACTGTCTTGATTTTTCCCCATAAACTACGTACCTAGCTCACTCGACTATCTTTATTTTTCGCCAATAAACTAGGTACCTAGCTCACTCGACTGTCTTTATTTTTTGCCCATAAACTACGTACCTAGCTCACTCGACTGTCTTGATTTTTCGCCAATAAACTACGTACATAGCTCACTCGACTGTCTTGATTTCCCACAAAGAAGAAATATGTTGGCATTGTTTTAACTTTCCTTTGTTTTTGTTTTTTAAGTCCCTATTGGCAGTCGAGTGGGCTAGGTACGTAGTTTGTGTGGAAAAACCAAGACAGTCGAGTAGGCTAAGTACGTAGTTTGTGAGAAGAATCTCCAGTTCTCTGAACTTTCATAGCGTCGTATACACATCTTTGGTGCCCAATGATAGTTTCAATATGAAAATATGCTTATGATATGGTGCCATGGCCTCTACTTCCATCTTACATGAGCAATGATAAAATATCATCTGCTTTTATAGCGTCGTATAAATTATCTGACCTCTATACTAATCTAATACCTAATGAAAACTACATCTATACCAATATAAGGATGTTAGGCTGTTTTGAATGACGAACAAGTCTGTTCGAACAAACATGCTGCTGAACCGAAAGTGTGTGGTAAAATGTTCGTTCTTGCCGAACACTTAGCAGAATAGTTTTAAAAAAAATGTCGAATAAGATTCGTGATGGTTACTTTTTTATACTTCGAACCAGATTAGCACTAGTCTTTGTTGCTTTCGAGCAATCCTACTCGTGAGATTTCTGTAGCAACAGATTCGTGCGTCTAGCTAAAATTATCAAAAATCACATCCACTTGTGTGATTCGTGTTGATGAAATATTGAAGTATCATATATCAATTCTCATTCTCAACTCGAATTCAATACCTACTACGCCTGAGGTGATGCTAACTGTTTATGTTCATAAATATGACCAATCCAATTCCACATAGATAAGATCCTCAATTCCAATTATGTTTCATTGATTTGGTTTGGGAGAATATTCACCAGATGTTGCTTTCTCACGTCATCTTATTTATGAATTTCCCCACTTTTATAGCCCTCTCATTCCCCTTATCCAAATGACCCACTTCTATGATTAAATACGATCACTGGCAGCTTTCTCTTTGCCAAGACTCTATATCCTGGGTGATAAATCTCCTGAGGACTTGTCGTTTTTCTTCCGTGGGAAGCTTTCCCTAACGATGAGATGAACGATTCGGATTTTATCACTCAGCATTGACATAAAATCTGCTAGATGGATTGATAGTATAAAGGATGGTGATGCACCAAAATGATGAGTAGTGATGAATCGAATCATATTCATAATGTATTTTTCTACTACTGCTATGAAAAGTAGCGCATTTCTCATAGCTTACTTAGTTTCAAAACCATGTATTACTCATACTGTGAGAAATATTTTTTCTCACGGCACTTTGCCAACACCACATACATTTCCATGGAGAATTAACAAGAATCGACCAAAACTTAATTGACTGCATCTCTTTGACTGCTGTTCAGCTTTGAATAGTTGTCACAACTGTCATTAGAAGTTTTTCAATTTCTTAAGGGTAGTTCTCATTAGTGCTTTTGATAGCAATCGCATTTTCCATCAAATATTATTCCAACAATTCATAATAAATAATATGATGTATATACCGAGATGTGACGATTTTGATAAATACACCGCCAGAGACAGAGATGATGGAAGAAGCTGCAAAAGTTGGGTTTGTTTACGAAACTTTCAAGAAAAATTGTGAATTGGCATATAGGAAAAATTTATGGAATCTAAAAAATTACAGAAATGAAATCTTTTTCGGAAAGTGTACTTTTTTGAAATACTTTGAGGAATTAGGAAAGGCGTCTACTCTTTGGTCACAATATTCAATGTGGCATAGTGCTACATTTTGAAATGAAATTAAGTTACATTACTTTGGATTCTTAGAATAAGTGCAGTTGTAGAAAAAGTATAGTGTGCAACATGTGAGGAAAGGTACTTTTCCCACTTGTTGCACAATATAAAATTTCACAACAACTTTCCAATGTTGGGAAACATCTCGAAATGATTGAGGATTCATGATAACATTCCAACACGTTCGACCTCATTTAAAGATTTCATGAAAGTTCGCTCACATACAAAGAAAACAGCCAGCAAAAAAATTTGCAAAATAAATGATCGCCCTTTAAATTTTTCAATTCTTGCCCGATATTGGTCAAATTCCGACCAAATTGTATCAATTGATGTGTCGAAATGTCAATCTGAATTCTCGTTCAGAAAGAAGCTGATGACTTATTGATCATGTTAAATTTCTATACATCTCTTTGATCATTATACAGAAGAAAAAGGTACTATTTGACACTTCTTAACACCCTGTTGGGAAAGTGAGTGATTAAACTGACGTTCATCATGTTTTGGATTGAAATGTGATCCCTTTTTAACACAATGGTTTTTGATTCTTGTTAATATCTAATTTTTAAAGGAGATACAAGTGTTTTAAGATAGTATGGATTTTCCAAATTTCCAAAAACTATACATGAACTCATCGTTCAACAACTCGAAAAAAGAAGAACATCTGAAAAACTATATCACTCATTTACACCCCATTTCTTAGCAAAGAGGAACTCTAATCATTCAAAACGAGCGGGATGCAGACCTCCTAGATCAAAGTATCACTACCGTGACATCGACTTCATCGAATTTCTCAAGTCTTGCGAGGAAATGCCTCGAATTCTTTGGATTTCAAAGATGCTCTATAGGTTCTGAATTATTGTTGATAACAATCATTAAAAAATTCTAAATTTGCTAAAAACACTTGTTTCTCCTCTTGAAAAGGAAATTATGATGTGAATCGAGAACAATTTTGTGTTAAGAGAGGACGAAAAGAGATCACACTTCAATCCAATAAATGTTGAAGAAGAAGGTTGTAATTGAATGAATGAATTTTTGTTAATGAAGATTTGAAGAATTCATAGCTTCATGTTTCTTTCCTGGAAATGGAGATATTGACATGAATGATATAACCTTTTGTTTCAGAAGAGATCACACTTGAATCCAAAACATATAGAAGCTATGTTTAACTATTCATTTTTGCCACAGAGTTAATCGCGAAAGAGTAAGTTATGTTCTTCCCTGCTTTTGATGAGAATTATTTCAAGCTTACACTCCGAATCATGAATCTACGATTTCGTCGAAATTTCACCAGAATCGGACAAGATTAAGAAAAGTCACATGAATTTGGCTAAATTTTTGGCTGGCTAGTTTTTTGCCGTTGAGTGTATAAACTGGTGACAATGCGGATTTTGTTATAATCTATTGAACTTTGTTTTGAGTGAAACTTAACATTTACATGTTCTCTTTTTGATCTGAATAATAGTTCATTAACTATGTTTCGTTTTGCTTCCGCACAATTCTTGTGAAACCTGACCCCTGAATTTGATATTCTCTTGTCGACCAACCCTGTACAACCATAGTTCAAGGAACATACATACCAGTCGCTCGGTACATACTTATCAACAAAGTTAACGTCTTCCATTCACAGTATTGCGCACTGTGATGATAGTTGTACGTATAGCAGATGAACAGTG